TTCTTGTAGGCCAGTTTGGTCTCTCCAGTAGTTAGTAAGCCTTCCTGATATACTAATTTCAGTGCATCTTCATCATTGTTCTTCAGATATTTTTCCAAAGCCATTTTTTCTTCTTCAACCATCTGATGTACTTGTAGCATTCCACGCCCACCTATTTGCCTTGGTAGATAAAGTCTATCAATGTCACTGCGTGGATGAAGGGCATGATTCATTGTCATTATTTTTCTGGTCTGCCTATCCATTGCTTTTAGTTCTGCTTGAGTCCAGTCCACTATTCCAGCTGTGTACCTAATGACTGGGATTGCCCAGGTGTTGATTGCCTTTATGGTATTTCCTCCATTGAGTTTGGACTTTAAGATCTTCTTCACTCTCTTGATGTATTCACCTCTAATCTTTTTCTTGACTTCAGTGTGCTTGATGTTATCAGCTTGAAGGATACCCAAGTATTTGTAGTACTCTTCCTCATCCAGACTCTTAATGTTATTTTCGTGGGGCATCTTGATTCCTTCAGTTTTCACTATTTTTCCTTGTTTGATAGTAAGTGTGGCACATTTGTCCAAGCCAAACTCCATTACAATATCTTGGCTATATATACGGACAGTGTTGAGCAGCGATTCTATTTCAGATGATGTTTTTCCATACAGCTTCAGATCATCCATGTAAAGGAGATGGGATAGTCTGGCAGATGTTTTTGATGTTTGATAGCCATGTCCTGAGTTATTCAGTATTGTTGACAGAGGAAACAGTGCAATAACAAATAGTAATGGTGATAATGAATCTCCTTGAAATATTCCTCTCTTGATATTAACCTCTCCCAGCTTCTCACCATTGATCTGCAACTGTGTCTTCCATTGTGCCATCGATCTTTGCACAAATTTTCTGATGTTTCTACTGACTCCTGTTATTTCTAGGCACTTGATTATCCAGTCATGTGGCAGAGAGTCAAATGCCTTTTTGTAGTCAATCCATGCCACATTCAGGTTGGTCTTCCTTCTCTTGCAGTTTTCCAAGATCATTTTGTCTATTAGGAGTTGATCTTTTGTTCCTCTGCTATTGGGGCGGTTTCCTTTCTGCTCAGGTGGAAAGAGATTGTTTTCAACTAGATGCTGTTGCACTGCATCAGCTACCACACCAGTTAGTAATTTGAAAGTTGTTGGTAAACAGGTAATTGGCCTGTAGTTGCCTGGTGTTGCCCCTTTTGCTGGATTTTTCATTATTAGGTAGGTTTTCCCAGTTGTTAGCCACTTTTCAATTTCTCCTCCTTGTAGTATATTGTTGAACTATTATTATTATTATTATTATTAATCATCGCACAGTCAGCCAGATGTTCAGACTGGATTTGGCATTTTGTCTACCTATCGAGTCCTTACCCAGGACCTGGGATAGGCAGATGTGGATGTTTGATGGTATTACAGATCTCGTTGCAGGATGGAAGCAGTTTCTTTTGCAATTGACTAATAGCCAGTTTGTCAATGCCAATGGTGCTGTTGTTGTTGTTGTTGTTGTTGTTGTTGTTATTATTATTATTATTATTATTATTGTTATTGTTATTACTTCAACTCCCAGAATTCACCAGCCAACCTTGGCATCTTCCCCAAGGTGCCAAAATTGGGAAACATTGGTGTAGCATGTTGAGTAGACCAGCTGTCCTTCTTTTCTCTCTCATTCTGGGTGGACAGCCAACCTGCTCCAAGCTCCAAGTTGGTTCAGCAGATCACCTGGAAGAGTCACATGAACCTGGCACTGAAGAACGTCTCTCAATTTCAAGATGTCTGTGAAAAATGTTTATCTTGGAAGTTCTCCTGATGAGTTTGGATCACATCTCCATCGTTATCAACGCTCTGAATCACTTCTTTCATCCACGGGGACGTATAGAACTGGCAACCCAAGAGAAGATTAGTGGGCAAAGATTTGAGCACATTGAGGAAGCTCCATCCATCCAGACATGTAAGTGAACTGTGTGATGGTCCAAAGGTACCCCAGATGGGGGAAGGAGTCCCTTCTGAGAAAGTTGATGGACACGTAAGATTGGGGCTGAGTCTCCCGTCCAGATTTTCCTGCATCTTTAGCTCCAGAGCCTGGGGTGCAACTCTGAAATCTTCCAGCAGGCTTAGAAGGAGCCACCCCTGTCTTCTTCTGCAGAGTTGCAAATTGAAGTTCTTGCGGTTTGAAAAAGGTATCTGTGCAACCATTTTTCTCCAGTTGTTTTTCCTACGTTGACTGGACAGTCACCAGACCCTTCTGGGCTCTGTCCCTTGAGTTGAGGTGCTCATCAAGTCTTTGACTCTGTCCTTCTTCTAGAACAGTGGTTCTCAACCTGTGGGTCGGGATCCCATTTGGGGTCGAACGACCATTTCACGGGAGTCGCCAAACAACGCAGTCCGCCATTTTTCCCCCCTTTTCCTTAGCTGTGCTATTCCCGTTTATTCTATTGGCTTTCGAAAGCCAATAGAATAGACTTGCTTGAATAGAGTCTAATTCTATTGGCTTTCAAAAGCCAATAGGAATTGTCCAGGCTGTCTCTGCCCTGCTGAGCCCGCCAAAAGTCCCATTCTGCAAACGGTGCTGCAAGTTGTCTGCAGCGAAGGCGAGCTGTCTGGAAGTTTCCACCCCTCCCTGCTGAGCAACTACTAAAAATGTAAGGAAAAGAGGGCCAGGGGTGGGAGGTGGGAGGCCGGCGGGTGCAGGAAGGATTGCTGGCGCGCGTGGGGCCCAGCGGGTGCCTTACCTCCCTTGGGCTGGGCCAGCTGGTGGCCCAGCCGGTGGTCGGCCTGCGCCGTCTCTGCCGCTTGCCAGCTACGCCTCGGCTGGCGCAGGGGGCAGCACCACGCATGCGCGGTGCTCCCGGGCAGGGAAAGTCCTCGACTTACGACCGGTTGGATAGTCCTCGACTTACGACCAGTTGGGGGTCGCGGCATTAAAAAGGTTGAGAACCACTGTTCTAGAAGATGAGATGGTCGATATCGGCAGAAGATCAGAAGATCAGAAACCGAGTCGGGGGCCCTTTCCAAGAGTTGTATAAGGGGGGGGGGACCCATGTTCTCCATGGCTACAGCACCCCAATGTCAGCCATTTTCAGACTTTGAAGTTCTGCCATCATGGGAAATGATTAGAATAGAATTGCTTCCCTCTCAAAAAGTGAGAAATGATGTGATTATTGATTGGAGAAGAGGAGTGGGATACACAACAGCAGAGGTTCTCAACCTTGGCAACTTTAAGACTTGTGGACTTCAACTCCCAGAATTCCTCAGCCAGCAAAGCTGGCTGAGGAATTCTGGGAGTTGAAGTCCACAAGTCTTAAAGTTGCCAAGGTTGAGAACCCCTGCACAACAGGATAGTGTTTTCAAGCTCAGCCCCTTTTAAGATGGCTGGACTTCAACTCCCAGAATTCCAAGCTGGGGAAAATACTGGGTCTGCCTCCCCCTGCTTACCGGCTGAGGGATTCTGGGAGTTGAAATCCATGCGTCCATCTCAAAGAGGCTGAGCGGGAAAAATCACTCCTCCAGTCCTCCAGCTTTCTGGCTGGGGTCTTCCGGGGGTTGAAGCCCACCCCTCTTAAAGCTTGAATGCTCCAACACTGGAATTTTTTAAGAAGAGACTGGACAGCCATTTGTCCGAAATGGTGTAGAGTTTCCTGCCTGAGCAGGGGGTTGGACTAGATGACCTCCAAGGTCTCTTCCAACTTTATTCTTATTAAAGCTTCCAAGGTTGAGAAAGCGACAGAAAGGGAAGGTTAGAGCCCGGAACGTGGCGCCGCGGGGAGCGTTTCTGGCGGGGAACACTTTGGGCGGTGCACCCGCCGCGCTAGAGCCACCCACGTCATTAGAGGCTGAGCCGCGCTGCTGTATGCGGAGTCGGCTCCTCCCCCTCGGAAGTCGCTCTGCACTTCCTGTGTCCGTCACTCAGAAAGCGTCCCCGATCGTCTCTGCCGTCTCGGGGGTCGCGGCTTGGGGGGGCGTCTCTCCGTCTCCGGCCTCTGGTGTGGGGCGCTGCTCTCTCGGGGGGGGGGGCGGTAAGAGCCGCCCGTCTTCCACCCCTTGGAGGGTTACTGGGGGGGGGGAGTGGGGGAGGGGCCGTCAGCGGTCTTCTGGGCCTGAAAAGGTGGGATAAAATGAATAAGAGCAATAACAACAATAATAAAGTAATGAGCGAATGAATGAACGAACGAACGAACGAAGGAATGAATAACAGGAAACGGGGGGGGGGTCGGGGGTCCATGCCAGTACCTTTCAGGCAGCCTACCTCACAAGGTTGTGGGGAAAAGAGGAGGCAAGAGGATTAGATAGGTCAGTGTTTCTCAACCTTGACCATTTTAAGGCATGTGGACTTCAACTCCCAGAATTCCACAGCCAGCATTGCTGGCTGTGGAATTCTGGGAGTTGAAGTCCACATGCCTTAAAATGGTCAAGGTTGAGAAACACTGAGATAGGTAGATACATGATAGTGTATATATTTAATTATATATATCTTTTGTTTGGCTATATCATTATATATCATCTGTCTATATCTGTTATTCATCTATGTCAGTCTATTATCTATCTGTCTGTCTCTATCCACATTCATCCATCATCTTTCTCTCTCCTAGCTGTCTATCTCCATCCATCCATTATCTCTCCTATCTATCTATCATCTATCTATCTATCTCTGTTTGTCTGTCTATCTACCCTCTTTAAATCTGTCTGTCAATCTAATCTATCATCTATGTCTATCTGTCTATATTCTGTCTAACTATCTATGTATCTATCTTATCTTTATTTTATATGTCTGTCCATCTAATTTATCATCTATCTATCTATCCATCTATCCATCTATCTATCTATCTATCTATCTATCTATCTACCTGTATCCTATCTTTCTTTTATATCTATCTAATCTATCATCTATGTCTATCTCTATTTATCATCTATCTCCTATGTCTGTCTGTGTCTGTCTATCTATTTGTCTTATCTTTCTTTTATATGTCCATCTAATTTATCATCTATCTTCTATCTAGCTATCTA